ACCCAACCGAGTGCATGATTTTGTACCCGTTCCAACTAACAGTTCTCATGTTTTGTTCTGCAGGTACCCAGCAGAACAAAGTGAAAGTAATTTTCTGCTACTTGGTGCTTCAGGCTGAAATGGAATCCTCCCTAATTAGTGTCACTGGCCAGGAAAGAGTTTATCTTCTGACAAATTTAACAAAAACACTACAACTTTCATGTAGCTTTTATGCCTGTTTCTGGTTTGTTTGAGTTTGTATATTTAGTTTATTTGATGGCTTTTTGTTATCTGTTTTGTTTCTGCTTTTGTTTTGTTTCCGTTTTGGACAACTTTGTAAACTGGAGCACTCTATGGGACTATTAAAGGAGTTAAAACTTAGAAAACACGATGAATCAGAAAGTCCAGATAAAAAACACTAAATTGTGTATAATGCTATTTCAAACATCCGAGCTGATAGCCCCCTTGCACTCTTACTATTCAACAAAGAAGTTTGAAATTATGAAAGACTTTTTCCCACTGTTGACTCTGACAGGAGGGGACACAATTAGCGGTTGTTTAGATGGTTTATCCAAACAACTGCCCAATAGGTAGGGCCATCAGCCACAGCCCTACGACACAAAACTGGTGGGGAACCCATGAAGATTGTGAAGCAATTATTCTCATCACTGGCTATACACTGAGCGTATGACTTCTAGGCTTTCCAGATCTGGAGGTTTTATCAAAACTGGGCTGACACCAGGGGTCAACAGTTCTTGGAGCCTGAGGAATCAACATTTTTTAAACACTCCAGATTTCTGAGCAGAAGGTAACACGGACTTTTACAGGAAGCACTAGTCTTTAGAATTCTGTGTTCATCTGCCTGTAAATATTTTTAAGCAAGGCCTGCACTTAATTGAGAGCAATTCTTCCCCACCTCATAAGACCTGTTTCTGCAGAATAGTTCAGTAATGCGGGAAGTCTGATACTGCACATGCATGTAAATCTGGCAAACATGAACATACGTATTTTCCCCTAGACAGTGTCTCTCAAAATCAGATGACTGTTTCATTTGATCTCAGGTTATCTTTATATTCCATGGAATAATACTAATCCTGTTGGCTTCCTGAGGCCTATCTCTCTGACTTCTCTCAGATCTCACCAATCAAAGCTCTATTCATATCACATTCACTGCATCTGACTTCCAGCTCCATTAGCCCACTGAAACAGCATTCACCGAGGTGACCAACACCCTTCTCGTGATAAGCAGAGGACACTTCCCAGTCTGCACCTTATCAACCTCGGCTCTCCTCGAGTCACCCAGGATGCCCTGGCTTCCTTGCCATATTGTGTCTTGGTTTTCCTTCTACCTCTTAAGCCAACCCCTTGCACGCCTACCTATGCATGGGCTCTGTGACGGTTTGTGTCCAGATGTCCTCTCAAAGCCTCATTCAGTCATCAGACTTTTTCAGAGGTGACTGAACCTAGAGTGTGCAATGTTGTGATTAAGGATGATGCTAGGATTAAAAGTGGGGCATTGCTGGATCAGTCCACTGATTGGGTTGGTACTACCTTAATCCTGGTATACTGGATACAATATAAGGGACAGAAAGAGGCGTGTCTCCCCACCCCTGCTTGCTTCTGCTGTAATGAACTGTCATCTTCTCTGAGATGCCTTCTGCTAAGCCACCCTGCCCCAGACCCAGCCAATTAAAGACTGCAGCCTCTACACACTGAGCTAAATAAACTTTTCCCCAGGTATTTTTGTCTCAACAATGAGCAAAAAGTAACTGAGACAGACTCCATGGGCTCTCAAGTCCAGTCCAGATTATGTTGTCACCCACAGCAGGAGATGGGCTCCCATGCCAGAGTCTAAGGTCTCTTCTCAGCCCAGCTCTAACCTCTGGTTAAGGCTCTAGTCTTCTGTATCCAGTCACCTCGTGTACAGACCTCCCCAAATGCCCGGTGTACTGTTTTAATCCCTCCACAGCGTGCTTTCTCTTGGACACCATGCCAGCCCTGGCAGTCTCACACTGAGCCGTACAGTGTGTTGTCATTCATTGGTAGCCTCTCTCTTGGGTAAACAGAGGAGACAGATGTGCGTGCAATTGCATGTTTTCTGTCACTCTTGCGTGGAAGTACTCCGTGACGTAAATACTACTACTCACTCAGTAAATAACCATTTCCCTCCTCGGCCTATGGGTTTCTCACTGAGGACACCAAAGCACTGAGTCCCTCTGGAAATTTGCCCTTAGATCTTTCCAACTAGTGGTAGAATAGACACACCCATGAATGTAATTGAATCCCTACCTCATGACCATTCATAAAAATTAAACCACGTCAAAGATATACATGCATACAGCAAGGGATAACCTTCTCATTTTGGACTTGGAAATGGTTTGTTAGTACTAATACCCAAGACACAAATAACAGGGAAAACTAAACAGGTAAGTTGGACTTCATCAAAAGAAAGAACTCTTGTGCTTCTGAAATACTACTAACAAATTCAGACAGGGAGAAGTTAGCAAGTCACTGGAGCTTGTGAGACCAGCAAGAAGCAAAGATGTCAGAAAAGTTTTACACAAATACTACTTGTCAGCCCTTGCCTTGTCAATAATCCCCAAATTCAAGCTCTCCAAAGCCCAGCCATACTTGGAGCAGCTGATGAAATAAATTCAGTGCTGATGAAGAGGTAAGGCAAGTGTGCCCACAGGGGCCTGCCCAACTTCTTGTTGTCCATCTAGAGCACCTGCTGCCTACCAGAGACCACCTTCCAGATGGACCCTAAAAACAGACACCACCATGGAGCACCAAGCTGTAACTTCCAGGCTGAAAAGCACCTAGAAGAGGAAGAGGAGGTGGTGCAGATTGAAAAAGAGAAAGAGGAGCTTCACAGCTCCGTGAAGATGCTGGAGAACAGGGCCAAGGACTCCAATCTAGAGACAGAGGACTGAAAACCTGCAGGAGATCAAGGCTGTGATGGGAGTGGAAGAGGAGCGGGATGGAGTAGCCTCAGTGGAGGAAGCTGCAAACAAAGTTGTGAAGGCCAAGGTGAAGATCTGGGTGCAGAGCCTGGCAGCAGGTGCCAGCTCTCAGGCCTGACTATGGTAAAGTAGACAGACTTGTAAATACCAGTTAAGGCCAAGTGGCACTTACCCCAGGGACCTCAGCAGGAAAGCAGCTGACCCTGAATCCCAAATACCTGGACCTTTGTTCCTGAGCCAGCTGGGTACATATTCAGAGAAGAAGGACAGAGACTGAGCCCCTGACTGAGCCCCTGTCCAAGACCTTCCCTGGTCAAGATCCCAGAGCAACTTCAACCATATCAAAGACTGGAGGATCCAGTGGTCAGGGCGGAAAGCCTCGGCACAGCCCATGACACCTGCATCCTCCGAGGCCTGGGGCTGGGAAGAGCTTGGCCCAGGGCCTTGACTTCCCTCCTGACCCCCAGCAGTCCTGCAGGGCCTCCAGATCCCCAGCTCTTCTTATCCCATTCTAGCACTATGTTGAGGGCTGGGCATTCCTGGGGCACCTCTCCGTCAAGACTGAAGAAGGTGCAGAACCTCTTCCGGGACTCCTTTGGGTGTCAGTGGAGTGAAACTGGTTGAGTCTCACTTTTTTCAAAAGCACATAGAAACATTTAAGAACATGGAGATTATCTTTGCCTCGAGCAATTGAATATTGAAAATAGCATGATGAAAATACTTGGTGAATGTTTAAATTTAAAATGTATTACAGTGAAATACACTTTGCTACCTACTCCCACTGCCTTGGAATATGATTATCCCATTGTTCTTGGCAGTGTGTCTTTTGTAGTAAGCTTCATGTGATTTAAATATTCACCATATCTTTCAACACCCCTCGTAAAATAAGGAGAAAACAACAGTATGACTCTCGCTCTCCCCTAGTGTTTGAGCTTGGAAAGTTCAACCTAGATAAACCCTTACACCACTAGACCAACCCCTTGCCTACCCCCAGAGGGGATTTCTTTCCACATGACTAAAAGTAGTAACGCAGAAGACAAGGAAGCCAGATCATCCTCCCTTCGGTCTTCCACTAAAGATGGAAAGTCTAGTCCAAGGACTAATCCAGGAGAATTTCTAGGAAAGCCATATTAGTTAAACCAGAATTTTCCATTGTTAGATGAGGAAACACAAAAACTGAAATCTTACAAATTTCAGCCACTGAGCACCAGCCCCCATACACACACACACACACACACACACACACACACACACACACACACACACAGAAGGCCTAAGCCTCAGCCCAACATGCAGAGGACCTAGGAGGAAAGCCAGCTCCCAGATTCCTTCATAAAGAGCCCAGCGAGGCCGAGCAGGGACTGGAGCCCCAGTTAGCTCCCCTCTCCTGGTTTAAAGCTGATTACACTGACCTGCTTCTCAGTGAGGAAGGGCTCCAGAAGGTTCTGTTTTGTGTTTTGTTTGGTTTGTTTCCCAGATCTCCCCAATTCTGCTTCTTGTTGTATGAAAAACAAAGGGAATTTCATACAGCCCAACTTACACCTATCCAGATTTACAAAAGAGGGGTGGCTGAGCCTTTTCTAAACTACCATATTAAGAAAAAGAAGAAGAAAAGGAAAACCAATGGTAGTTCATAACACAAGACTTGGCTAAAAATTAACCAAACTTCTCTACCTTTTTAATCCCTTACAAGTTTCCTGAGTACAAATAACAGGTTTTTAGTGCAGGGGATTTTGTGTGCGTGTGTGTGTGTGTGTGTGTGTGTGTGTGTGTGTGTGTGTAACTTCCCCTCAGTTGCTATGTGGAGCTGAGAGCTATTGGCTTATGTGTCTATCCTGTGCCAAGCATGTTCATGACTGCTGTCTGTATTACCTCTTTCTACCTGGGAGGTAACTATTCCTATTACTTTATAAGTTAAGAAATTAAGTAAAAATAAGTTCTCCAGGGTTTTATCTAAGGCTGGGTAAAGCACAGATAAAAAATCCAAGCATTTAAATGCTGCCTTCAGCAGTCCCCAGTTGCAGGCTTTGAACATGTCCCCAACACTGTCCTACTTACCAGAGAGGAACAGAGTTCTGGGAGCAGAAGCACACATCCACTAAGTAGACTGACCCACAGATCAACAGGCAAAGTAGCAAGGCTTCCACCCCGGGGGTTCCCACCGGCCATCACACCCCCGCTTTGTGCTCCTTTCCAAGAGCTCCCTCACTGAGAACCAGGGGGAGCTCTGCCCACCTGAGGAATCTGCTCAGCTATCACTCCCTGGACTCATGCATCAACCACCATCGCACTGAGCCAGCATTCCTCAACCTGGTCTCCAGCTGCTGCCCCCTTGCCTCCCTTCCCAACCCCCCTCCTCATGGAGAAACAGAATCATCTGACCCATATGTACCAGGTCTCTCTTTACAGCTGTCAGGAGGAAGGTCATCCTCTCCCACAGCTAAAAAGGAAAAGGAGGTGGGTCCTCTCACCACAGCTCAGTCCAAACACACCAGACCTCATGGACCAATATTATTCAAAGTTCTACATAGCCAGGAGCGCCACAGTGTGAGCAATAATTGAATTAGCTCCTCCCAGTGAGCTTTCCAGAATGTACTCTCCCCACACCCCTGCCGATATTGAAAGCTTTCTCCAGAACTGTGGCAAGACTGTGGCTCCCAGTACAGTAACGTAACTTGTTGACCTTCATCCTGGAACTTCGTGTTGCTCTACAAGGACCTTGAACATTTGTAAGCAAATTCTCCAGTATCTTTAGAAAGTGGGGTCCCTTTCTACTTTGGTCATGAGGCAAAGGAATGTTGGGAGAATTACCACTAACCCAGACTAGTGAGTCTCAGTATCCATAATAGATTTCCCAAACCTGACATGGGCAATGAGAACATTTTTATCCCATCTTGCTGCACGTGTCTAATAATTTAGTCTTTAGTTCTTTAAAGCATAGTGTTTGAGACCACAGACTTTGTATATTGGCCAGTGGGGACCTGAATCCCAATCTCAGAACTTTATCTGACTTCTATATTTATTATCAACATGGATTTGGAAATCTTAATCTAGACCCCGAATATTACATCCCCACCCCTGAGTTCACGTCTGCAGTTGTCCAATCAAAGGAAGGAAGCTAAGGGGCAGGACCGATTGGGGGCCTGAACCCTGTTTGTCTCAAAATGGTACCAAGTTACTTAAATATATATAGAAAACAAAAAGGTCTTAACATTTCGGGGGCTGGTGAGATGGCTCAGTGGTCTAAAGCACCTACTTAGAACAAGCTTAGCAAAGCACAGGGACCGTGGTTCAAACCCCAGCACCACATGCCAGCCAGCCCCGCCCCCTGGTGGGCTGAGCTGGCCACACACATAAATAAATAAATAAATAAATAAATAAATTAAAAAAAAAACATTTCTCATAAATTACTTTGTTTTGTTTTGTTGAACATGGAGGTTAAATGCGATGCCTTTCTCTCAGCTACATTCCAGCCCTTTTTAAAATTTTGATACAAGGTCTCTATGTTGCCAGAACTGACTTGAATTTCCAATTCTCTTCCTCAGCCTCCCAGAGTGGTGGTGCTGCAAGCATGTACCCCTACGCCCAGCCCAGCCTAGCTCCTAGCCCAGCCCATAAATTGCTTTTCCAGAGTCTTCAGCTGCATTTCTTCTGCCACGAATATTTTCCCATTTGTTTCCAAACCACACTCAGACCAGAAATCCATAACAATTAGCCTAAGCCACCAGGAAGCTAATACCCGTCCTGTGGTGTGATAAGGGCTGCTTTGGGTATGTCTTTAATCACACCATATGACTGTCTCAATGTCCTAAGCAGAATCACAATGTGTTGGGATTTTTTTTCAGAATCATAGTGTTTACCTTGACTGTGGGAGAAAGCCAGGAGTCCCACATTGCCATAGCCTGCAAATAAGGTGATGAAGACACACCATGTGTTATTAGCCTGCTTTTGTAGCAGATGGCATTCAAAGCAGCATTCACGACATTTTTAATCACACCTTATAAAGACACTCATGAAACATGACTTGCAGAACTGCTTCAGAAAGTAGCAAAGATGATGGAATAATTGTGTCTCAAAAGAGATTTTTGTTTTGTTTTGTTTTGTTAATGTATTTCTTACAGGATCTCACTATGCAGCTGAAACTCATAGTGATCCTCCTGTTTTCAGCTTCCCCAGAGGTAGGATTACAGGCATGCCCCACCACACCCAGGGTGACCGGCTCAGCATACCTGGGGACAGGACTAGTGTGGACTATGGTGTCAGAAATCAAACTTGGGTCCTTGCACTTGCCTAGGCAGGTGGTTAATCTGCTGATTTATATTGCTGGCCCTCAAAAGAGATATTTTGAGGAGGAATGATGGCAATTTGCCTCTATTCTAAATAATTTCACTGCTCCCAATATTTTGGTCATCACTTGTAGATAAACCTTGACCTGGTAGCTACAGCCCAGTTCCAAAATCTGACTGAATATGGAAAAAGATCCATTCATTATACCATATATGGTTATAATTTCAAATAGATCAGATATTTAAATATCAAGAAAAGGATTCATCTAGAATAACACATAGATTAATTACTTTAAAACCAAGGAATTTTCAAAACTTTCTACCTGTAGATTACAATCCAGAAGCAACAATAGAAAGACCGGGGTGGGAAGATGGCTCAGCTGTTTAAGCACCTGCCTGGCAAGCACAAAGATTCGAGTTCAATCCCTGGTGCCAAATGTCATGCAGGCCCTGGAGCTGGTCATGGTGGCACACACCTATAATCCCAGCATCAGAAAGCTGAGACAAGTAGAGTACCACTAACTCAAAGCCAGGCTGGGCTACATACTGAGTTCAAGACCAATCTGAACTGTATAGTAAGAACCTGTCTCAGTACTATACAAAATGACAAAGAGAAGGAACAAAATACAGTCCCAGGCTCCGAGTCCACCCAGTACAAATGCAGAAGACAATAGCATTGAGCAAACTGGAAATCACACACCGGATATCTCTGAAATAACAGCGTTGGAAGTAAAGAAAGGTATAGAAGAAATCAGATCAGAAATAATTTCGGAACTAAAAAATGTAGTAACTATAATCAAAGAAGTACTAAGTGCTTCTAAAGAATACAATGATAAAAAAAAATAGAGCAGGCTATAGAAATGATGGAATCCCTGAATAAGCAATTTAGAAACGAATTAGAGTGTATGAAACAGATCCAAAGTGATATACAGGAAATTAAAACCTCAATCACAAGCTGGCAAAACCATTTGAG